CTTCTCTCCAGATGATCTTTGCCCTTATCAGCGTCAAAAATATAAAATAATAAAGAGCAGAAGTCGATTAAGACTTTCCATCCTGAATGCCCAAAAACCAATGCAAGATTGCAAGCTTACAAATGTGATTTACAACGATTAAGATTCATTGAAATGCCCAAAAAATGCAAGAAGCAAGCTAAAAATGTGATTTACATGGCAGAAACAATGGAAAACAAGTCTGAATTATGCATGTTTATGATATCAGTAAGTTAGATAGATAGATAGATAGATAGATAGATAGATAGATGATAGATAGATAGATCAGATAGATAGATAGATAGAGATTCTTCCTATCCCTCCTCCTCCCTCCTTTTCTATCATTTCGCTTGTCACTCGTCTTTCTCCCCACACAGACAATGTAGCAGTCCCTCTCAGTAGTGATACCGGATGTGTCTCTCCTCTCCTTTGGGAGGGAAATCAAAACTCACATGGAATAACAAGTAGCTCTCTGCTTGCACACTCCCATTAACCGACTCCCCCCGCACACACACACACACATGTTTATGTATACAATATATACCACGCCACACGCACACTTACTCAAGCCAAACCGTGTCTAGGCACATTATTTTTTCCCATACTGTAAATCAAGAAGAAAAGTAAATTAGCAGGATAATTGTTCTGTGGCTCTCAGCAGGAAGGTAACAGAGAAGTCGTATGATTTTACAACCTTTCATTTGGAGACAAAACACTCATTACACTTTAATTGTTATTAATGTTGAATGTTTTAGTCACACAGACCACAGTATGCAGTCCGCACTGTGCCAAAGCAAATCATGTTATTACAGACTTCCTTGCTACAGACCTACTTTTATCCTTCCATCAAACCTATAAAATCTGCATTACTCGTTAACTGACAAATTCATTTTACTGTCAGACATTTCCTTTAAACTAATAACACTGCTGTCGCTCAATCAATCATACATAATTAAGTTTAAGTATTATAGCTTTCTCTCAGGTTACCTCTGGAACTTTGAACATGGCAGACAAGCTGCATTAACTGTGCACCCAACAGAAAAGCAGTGGCACCACATGAACCAGCCCAGTCCCACGCTAAATCGTGTAATAGACACGCTGATCCACTAAAGGATATGTGTCAGTGTCGCTTTGCCTAGACGTGAGTTGTACACACTTGTATGACAATGCAGTAGTAGTATAAAGACTGACTAAGTCCATGTCTGGAG